GGTTGAGACATTTGAGGTGAGTGCTCGGATCATGTCTTCGGTGGACATATTTGAGCTTTGCCCTTGGGGATTAGAGTATGGTTGTTTTTGAGGAAATTGATTTTGTGGAGGGTTATTTTGTTGTGGCTTTCCTTGCGGATTCCCATATCTCAAATTGGGGTGATCTCTAAACCCGGGGTGATAAGTATTGCCATAAGAATCGTACCTCTTTTGATTTGGGAACCCCAAAGTGTTGACTTGCTCGGGATTGTCTTCTTGTAGAGTTGGGCATGAGTCGGTGGGATGTCCTTGTTGTGTGCATATGCCGTAGACCTTGGCTTCTTGAGTTTGGGAATTTAAGAGAAAATCCTTAACCAAGGAAGTCAAGCCGGCCATTGGACTCTCGAGTGATGATGTAGATTCCACCGCCATAACTCGCTTTGATGATGACCTCCCATTGTAATGTCTCGAGTTTTCGGCCAACTCCGAGATGAGGTTCCTTGCTTGAGAGGGGGTTTTGTTCACGATGCCCCCTCCACACGCCGCATTCGCCATGCGTCTATCATGTTCAGCAAGACCATCATAGAAGTACATGATGAGGTCTTGCTCCGTATACCCATGATATGGGCAACTAGCGCAAAGTGTGTGAATATATTATTAACTGTACTTAAGGTTGTTTCGACATTAAAGAATGAGTTTCTTTTTTTCAAAAGAAGTGTGTGAATATATTATTGAACTGTAGCCTGTAGGAAATGGATACTATGTTTTGTTTAAAAGTTGTAAATGTTCCTAGCGTGTTCTAAGAATTTGAAAATGCCGAATATGTCACAATTTTGTGAACATATGAGAACTAAGTAGTTAAAGGATTATGTGTTTATTTCTTCTATTTATGAAATTGATTATTTTGCTGCTAATGACTATATTTTAGATCCCATTTTAAACTAGCAAGTTATAAGACTTATGGAAAATTATAATGGTTTTGTAATGATTTTCCTATAGATAACGATAAACCATCTATATAAATGTCATGCACAATATCATAATACTCGAGTTCCTTTGAGAGAGACTTCTTCTAAAAGAAGAGCATTCTATAAAAGTATCACAAAAATCTCTTGAAAAAATAAATATGTTCATGTTGTTCAATGCTTGATTAACGAGTTATTTTGTATGTAACATTTTCTATGTGATTTTTAAGGTGTAGAATTTGACATATTACTATTGTGAAAAGAGAAAACATATGTTTCGAGTATTACATATGTTTCTGTTAAGTTAGTGCATCATTACCATTGCTACGTTATAATATATTATATTATATTATATTATATTATTACTTTACTTTTATATACGGCAGTTGTATTAAATTTTAGGTAAGATAGTGATTTTCTTATTCAGTTATTATTATTATTATTATTATTATTATTATTATTATTATTATTATTATTATTATTATTATTATTATTATTATTATTATTATTATTATTATTATTATTATTATTATTATTATTATTCTTTAGCTTTATGGCCGATATGGCATATGTAGTATATAAGGCACTCTTAACATTTGAATAAAGTGAAGAATTCCATTTTGATTTTATTCCTACGTATACACACTTCTAAAATGGTATCAGAGCCTTCAAGGCTCATACGCACGTAATCCTTAAGCCTGCGTAATTCCTCTTCCATGGAAGGAGGACAAGGCAGTTCACCCCGCCGGAGGGCGGGGTGAAATATACATCACATGTTGGAGGGACCGCATCACAAACGACGCCACTCCCAAGATTCTCTTTTGACCAGTGAAAAACACTTATATCCATGTTTGGTAATTCACCGTCTCTACCGGAACGTATGTCTGGTAAGAACACTAGTATATTTTGGATTATAGATATCGGTGCTTCCAATCATGTCACATGAAATATTTCTTGCTTGTATAATTTACAAGATATATCTCCACGTCTGGTTGGGCTTCCCGATGGTCAACATGTCACTACTACCAAACAAGGGATGGTTCGGTTATCTGATAAAATTCAACTTAAAAATGTTCTTTTTGTTCCCAAAATGAACTGTAATCTTATTTCAGTATCGCATCTTAATGACGATTTGAGGTGTTTTATTCAGTTTACAACTAATATATGTGTTATACAGGACCTTCACTCGAGGAAGGTGATTGACATGGGTGAACGGCGGGATGGACTGTACTACTTCATGCAAAAATCGGTGGTATGTTCGGTGGTGATGGATGGGGTGTCATCTACTTTGGATTTATGGCATCAACGACTTGGGCATCCATCATAACAAGTTGTGAAGTGGCTTTATTCTGTGAGTGATTCAGAAAAATTTGTTATTGTCCCTTGCGAAATATGTCATCGGGCTAAACAAACCCGCAATTCTTTTCCTTTGAGTTCCAATAGAACAAGTAGAATATTTGAGTTAGTAAACTGTGATTTATGGGGGCCTTATAATACTCCTGCCTCATGTGGTGCTAGATATTTCTTGACTTTGGTTTATGATTACTCGCGTGCCGTATGGGTTTATTTGTTGCTTGATAAGAAGGAAATATTTAAGGTTTTTTTTTGTCATTTGTTGCTATGATTTCACGCCAATTTTCTCAAACAATTAATTTGATTCGTAGTGACAATGGAACTCAGTTTAATTGCTTAAAAGATTATTTTCAAGCTACCGGGATATTGTTTCATACATCTTGTGTAGGCACGCCTCAACAAGATGGACGTGTCGAGCGTAAACATAGACATGTTTTGAATGTTGCACGGGCATTACGGTTCCAAGGTAATCTTCCAATTAAATTTTGGGGAGAATGTGTTCTAGGGGCAGCACACCTTATTAATCGTACCCCTTGTCAATTACTTCGACAAAAGACTCCTTTTGAGATTTTATTTGAAACTCCACCAACCACCGTCCTACAAAGAATTGCGGGTGTTCGGTTGCTTGTGTTTTGCACATAATTTACGTGCAAAGAGTGACAAATTTGAGAGTAGAAGTCGCAAATGTAATTTTGTGGGATATTCGTTTGGAAAGAAAGGATGGCGACTCTACGATCTTGACACAAATGAATTTTTTGTCTCGTGACGTCAAATTTTATGAAGACCAATTTCCTTTTCGTGAATCTGTAATTAATTCCCCCGACTCAGCTGATGATGGGCCTTCTACTTATGTTAATTATCCAGTGTATCAATCTTATCATGATTTTCGGCCTCTTTCCAAAGCAACCGGTGGCACCATAATTGATAACCGAGCTGGTGCACGGCTTACTCACGATGAGGGCACATGAGGTTTGCATGAGGGTTGTGACAACTTTGCAGCCATCCCATTCAAGAAACTTCTATAGTTGACTCTAATATTTCTCATGGAATGGAACCCAGCTGCCCACCGAATACAACTGATATGGGACGTGGTAAACGAATCAAAATCCCATCCGTTAAACTGCGTGAATATACCACTCATACTATTTTTGTTCCCGGTCTATCCTTCCTCGGGGACCTCGGGTAATCAGTTCCCTATTACACAGGACGTGAGCCTGGGAGCTTTAGAGAAGCGGCCGCCGATCCCGGATGGCGTGCAGCCATGGACACAGAAATACAAGCCCTTGAACTCAATAACACGTGGACTTTGGAACACCTACCCCCCGGGAAGCTTGCCTTGGGGTGTAGGTGGATCTATAAAATTAAGTACAATCCGGATGGCACTATCGAACGTCTCAAAGCTCGACTTGTCATCTTTGGCAATCGGCAAGTCGCCGGACTTGATTATAATGAAACCTTTGCCCCTGTTGCTAAAATGGTGACTGTACGTGCATTTCTTGCTATTGCAACATCAAAAATTGGGAGTTGCATCAAATGGATGTTCACAATGCATTTTTGCATGGCGACCTCGATGAGGAGGTTTACATGACTCCCCCACCTGGTTATCCTTTAGCTGATCCTTCTCTTGTGTGCCGCCTGAAAAAATCTCTTTATGGCCTCAAACATGCCCCTCGGTGTTGGTTTGCTAAGTTGGTGTCCGCATTGAAAGCATATGGTTTTATTCAATCATACGCTGATTACTCACTTTTTACAATTACTCGGGGTACCATGCAGATCAATGTTCTTGTCTACGTGAAGTTCCTCGAAGTTCCCGATTGAACAAAATCATCATTTGGCTACGGCCTCTGGACCGGTTCTCGAGCATCCTGATTCTTACCGACGTCTTATAGGCCGGTTGATATATCTGGCCGTGACTCGACCCGATTTGACTTATGCAGTTCATATTTTGTCTCAGTTTTTGCAAACACCGCGTCGTGGGCATTGGGATGGTGCCTTACGTGTTGTTGGCTATCTTAAAGGATCCCCCGGGCAAGGCATTTTACTTCGAGCAGATTGTGATCTCACACTTCCAGGGTGGTGTGATATTGATTGGGCTGCCTGCCCCCTTACTCGGCAATCTTTGACTGGTTGGCTCGTATTTTTAGGACATTCTCCAATTTCTTGGAAAAGTAAAAAACAACATACAGTCTCTCGATCTTCGGCTGCAGCTGAATATCGCTCGCTCTATGATTGCTGCGACATGCAGACTTAAATGGCTTAAGGCTCTCTTACTTAGTCTCGAAGTTAATCATAAGCAAGCCATTCCGTTATTTTGCGATAGTCAATTAGCTATACATATTGCCAAAAATCCGGTATTTCATGAACGTACTAAACACATTGAAGTCGACTGTCATTTCGTTCGTGATGCACTGATGCCGTTCGAACATGTCTATTTGACGACTGTCATTTCGTTCGTGATGCACTGATGCCGTTCGAACATGTCTATTTGAAGGGCTTCCGGATGGATTTTTTGATGAAATTTATAAGCATGTTCTTCATGAAATGTAGATTATGTACACAAAGTTTCGGTTTAAAATTCAATCGGGAAGTCAGTTAAATAAAATAAAATAAAAACATTGCGCAAAAGTGTTTATAAAAAGTCTCAATGTTTTTCAATAATGTATTTAACCGACTTCCCGATTAAATTTTAAGTTAATACAACTAGATCATGTTATAGTAGACCACATCAAACCTTAATAAACACTAAATGCAATCTAAATGAATAGGTTCATAGCGTTCAACCTAAAAATCTGCACATCCCCATTCAAATCTACATCACAAGATCAAATTGAATTGAAATAATGGAATCTAACTAGTACAAATGATAAATAAAGTACATAAAGACATCTAAATGAGTTTCTAATTTATGGTACAGACTACAGATCATAGTGGGAAGCATAATAGACGGAAAAGGAAAGCAAGCCTTCCACAAGGTTTACTTCATCCATGTCCATATGCAGGCAAAGTTACACCGCCACTAGCCACAGGACACTAATCAGAAGCATAACGACTTTCCTAGTTGCCACACACTTATCACAATATCGGTGATTGCACGACATCGACAACATGGTCATGCCCATTTCTAGCCAAAACGATGCAGGCCAAGGGATAAAGATAGACCTTCAAGTTGCCTTCTTGGATTTGTATATCATTGCACAAAAGATATATATAACCATGTTGAGGAAACTAAGGAAAGACAAGAGCCAGAAGAAGTAATCAAGATGACCATTGTTCAAGTTATCTGGAACCCATCCAGGCTTCCCTCCTCGAGTGGTAATAGAAGTTACCACAGTCAAAATTAAGGAGCTCAAGTAATTCCCCAATGCGTTAGTCAGAAGTGCCAAGGCACTACACAAGCTACGCATGGCATCAGGAGACTGATCGTAGAAGAACTCGAGCTGCCCGATGAATGTGAAAACCTCAGCGGCCCCCAACAAGAAATACTGAGGAACCTGCCAGAAGATGCTGACTGGTGCGGGGACCGCTACGTCAACCAGACCAAGGTGTTGGGCAAACCGTAACCGCCTGCTTTCGACCAAAGCGGCAGCTGACATGCAGAGGACCGAGATGAAAAGCCCGATCCCCATCCGTTGGGTTCCGGAAAATCCTCTCTCTTTCCCACTGAAATTCCTAGCAATGGGTACGAGGATGACATCATAGAGGGGGACCCAGAGGATGACGCTAATGACATCAAAAGAAGAGAGGGATGCTGCAGGGATGTTGAAGGAGGAGCCAATGGAAGTATCCATCATCATCCCCTGCTCCACAAACATTGTTGACATTTGGGCATAAACGGCAGAGAACACTATCCCAGTTGCCCATATAGGGAACATACGAATCAAACTTTTCAGTTCCTCCACTTGTGTTACTGTGCAGAGGCGCCATGCGTTAGTATAGTTCCCTGTGTTCAGCTCAGCACCTGATATCACTGCCGCCTTGTCAAGGCAACTGGAAAGCAATATAGTGTGACAAGACAGTTCATATTAAGCATGAAATATTATTCCCTAGTCCCTACCATATACAACCGAAATGATGAGATTTTGATCAAGTCCTTCATATAGCATTCTTTTAATATTAATTTGTTTTCAGGAAAACACTGTTTTGGGAGCGTTTTCTTCTGTGAACCCCTCAAGGGAAATAATTTCCTTGGTTTTTGAACTCTTGTGCAAATGACTTCTTTAGGAAAGAGGAATTCATTTTCCTACAGCAGACTCATTATTTGAACAAGTTATTTTCAAGAAAAATGTTCTATAATTGGAATTTTCCCCTATAACTTAATTACTTGATATCCTGCTAAACCATAAGGCTATGTTTGGAATAAGGAAACTGATAGGGAAGGAGGGGGGAATAAAAAATTCACCCTCTATGTTTAGTTGTAGGTGCAGATATGCCATTCGAGTTCTGCAAGGTGCAAAATCATCCCTAATGTTTCTATGAAGTAGCAAATTGGCTCCATTTGACTTTTTAATGCACAAGCAAAATGCTCTCCAAAACACCCAAAAAATGAATTGATGATTAGTTATTTGGTTTTGGGAAAATGGAAATATTAAAAATTAAAAGCTTATTGGTATTAAAAATAGTATAATGTATATAAAAAAATGTTATAAAACTCGATAAAAATCAATTTTGATTTTATGTTAAAAGCTTTACACTTGAATTTTATATTGCAAAATTAATTTGTTTCCCTTATAAAAGAAGCATTTCCAATTCATAAATATTAATTGTAGTTTTGTTGCAAAGTTTTGATCATTTTGTTACAACTTCCTTACAAAATTATATTTTTTTGTATTGTTCAAACTTAATAAAATTAAACTCAGTATTTTGTAATCTTGAAAGACTCAACAACAACAACATTCAGGAAAAAAAATTGGGGTCGGTTAACATCGTACAAAAAATATCAAGTTAAAGTTTTAGTGTAAAGTCTTAGAAGAGAGCAAAGTGAAGAGCGCATATTCGTGTGGAGGATTGATTTGTTGACTCTCATTTCTCTTTCTCTTTTATCTTCTTAATCTTTCTATGTCCTTGTGCTATTTTTTACTCCGTATCTTTTATCTTTCTTATGTTCTTTTTATCTTATATTTATCTTTAACTTATTCATTTTACGTTACCTTGCCTTTTTATTTTTTACCTTTCTTTTGTTTTTGGCTTTGATATCATGGATGAATTCATGTTAGCCGATCCAAAATCTTTTGGGAATAAGGCTTGGATGCTTTTGTATGTATGTATGTTTACATTACTACAACTTTTGTTAATCCTGTGAAACATTGTACTTATTTATGTATGTCCACCTCCAAAATTATTGTGTATTTCATCATTAATGAGTGTTGCTTTTAGAATTTGAGTTATTGTATATCATTCGATTGGAACATTTACAATTCCTCATTTATGAACATGTTTGATGTTTATTGTTAGTTTGCTCTAATGTAGATTGTTGAAATTGTTCCTTTTGTTGGTCTCTGTAATTGTTGTTTTGTTTTTGAAGTGGCTTGTGTGTTGTTGTAATGCTGTGAGGGGACTTTGTGGAGGAAAAATGCCAAACGGGTTGGCGGCTTATAAGTCACCACTACGTTTGGTGACTTTGAAGTCGTTATTTGGTTCGGCGGTTTTGCTTGACCATGGTCAGTCCCAACCGTATTCCGGCAAGTACTTTTAACCCGGTAGTAATTTCGTAAATATTTATTTAAATAGCATTATCTCTAAAAAAAACTCAAATACCTTAATTCATCCGTGTGCAAAAGTTTTCGGCTCCCTTCAATCGCAGAATGTTTATCTTGACTTTCATATAGCAGGCTGCTATCTATCGGGACACTCACATTCCACTTGCGGAGTGAGGCAACCAAGACCTGGCTCACTCTTGTGATAGGACTCCCACCGGGTTTCTGAAATCGGTATAGAGGCGTTCCCGCAAAAAAACTAGCAATAGCAAGTGCCATGAACAATGCGGGAATTCCAAACCCGAGTCCCCACCCAGCATTGTCTTGTATCCAAACTATAAAACTGCTTGAAATTAAAGCACCAATGTTGATGGAAAAGTAGAACCAGTTGAAGAAGGAGCCTTTCTTGATACGCTCTCTTGAATCGGTATCATCAAACTGATCAGCACCGAATGAAGACACACATGGCTTGATACCGCCGGTCCCTAGTGCAATTAGATATAGGCCCAAGAAGAATACGGCATATTGGGTAGGAGTGGTGGTAGGGCAAGAAGAACCCATGCATTCAACCGGCTTCAAGGCAGGAACAGATGCCGATATAGCCAATGTGCACATGCCCTGTACATGGCAGTAAAATAAGGCTCATAATTCATTGAAGGAAAGAGTATTGAAAAGGGATGGGAAAACAAAGAATTGGAAACGCATTCAAGGGTCTGTTTGGTTCCTGGAAAACACTAGGAAAGAAAATAAGTAAAACCTAAAGGAAAACTGAAAGGAAGAAAATTAAGAGGAAAATAGATTAACGTAAGAAACCTATATATATGTATATATAGAGAGAGTAATCTTCCGGTCATGTCTTTTTTACCGCAACCGCCGGTGGGGCGTTTGGGGCCATTCCCGGTGGAATTTTTTTGATGAAATTTTATGGCATGTTCTTCATCAAGTCTAGTTTATCATCAAAAAATTTCAGCTAAAAATTCATCGGGAAGGCCGTCAAATAATTTTTGGAAGATAACTGCGACCAAATTATTCATATAAAACGCAGTTATCTTCCAAAAATTATTTGACGGTCTTCCCGATATTGAATTTTTAGCTGAAATTTTTTGTGGATAAACTAGACTTGATGAAGAACATGCCATAAAAATTTCATCAAAAAATTCGACCGGGAAGAGGCCGAAATGCTGCCGTCCGGAATTCCGGACATGAATCTCTTTCTCTCTATAAGATCGTATCAAACCGGCCTGACGGAAACCGCCGTCAGGCCGAGGCCATTTGGGGACCTTCCCGGTGGAATTTTTTCATGAAAAGTTTTGCGCATGTTCTTCATCAAGTCTAGTTTATCCATACCAAATTTCAGCTAAACTTCAATCGGGAAGGCAGTCAAATAAATTCTTTACAAAAACTGTGCTTTATATATATAAAATAAACAGCGCAGTTTTCTTCAACAATTTTTAGCTGAAATTTGGTATGGATAAACTAGACTTGATGAGGAACATGCTCAAAAAATGTCATCAAAATATTCTACCGGGAAGGGCCTCTGATGGCCTCGGCCGGACGGAGAATCCTGTCAGGCCGGCCTGAAAGGATCGCTACTCTTCTATGTAGCACGGAAACTCTCGGGAAAGAGTACGTATCCCGTCTCGGAAACTCTTGGAAACTCTTTGGAAGCTCTCCAAATAAGCTTTTTTTAGCAAGAGATGATCCAGTTTCCCGTTTCCTCATGATTTTCGCGTTTCCGTGCAACATAGCTACTCTTACATATATATATGTAAAAGTTAAAATAGAAAAGCAAACCGTCATATTTCATGATCTTTTACATTTTTTAAGATAAAACCTAACAATAGAAATAATTCCCTTCCCACTTTTTTCACCTTTCCATAGCATTTTCCAGAATCCGGACAAAACCCAAATGAAATATTAAAGCATCTCGTCTGGGTATGGCTATACGGTTGAAATGACTGAAACTATGTAATTTAGCGAAAGGAAAAGCATTTGGAAATGTCCAATCAGCCAAACAAGTAAGCCAAAAACTGCTGCTTATTCTGATTATGCAACTGATAAGCAGAATTAGCCACTTATGGCTACCAAACGGGCTTTAAATGTAAGAAAAAACTAATAAATTAACATAAACTCTACCCTTCCCTCGCCACTGAAATATCCCAACTGAACTTGAAGATTTTGTCCCTTTACTCTTGGTATACTTCTGCTTATCTTTGGCCAACCAAACAATGTCCAAAAGAATGCCACAAATCCGTTGAATAAATAGCACACGGAGAAAATAGTGAAAAATGGGCCATACAATGAAGTAAATAGTGGAGAAGACAGCGATTGTCCAATATCTTCCCCAATAAGCATCAGCAAGGACAGCTCCAATGAGGGGAGTGAGGTAACAAGTGCCTTGCCAAGTGGTGATACTTGTGGCAGCACTAACATTCCCTTCATGCATCTTTTTTGTAAGGTAGCTAACCAGATTTGTGGCAATTCCATAGTAAGCCAGTCGTTCACAGCACTCGGTTCCTGGTATCAATTAAAGCTTTGAAAAGCGATTGACAGCTAAAAAAGAAGCAAAAAATGTATAATTGCCAAAGATAAGCAGAATTATACCAAGTATAAAGGGACAAGCCCTCCAGTTCCCAGTATTGTTCTTCAAAGCAGGGTTCCCTTTCCTGTCAACCGAACCATCTCCTGTATGGATTCTGCTGCTCTCATTCTGACAACATAAAATATAAACAAGTATTTGAGAAGAAAAGAAAGTTAGGTAGTAGTCCCGTGGCTTCCTTTCTTCCCTTTCATATCGTTATGATTTTATGTTGTTAAGAGTTTAACATCGAAATATTAAAAACGCATATGACAATATTAATTCTGTTCATGTTGTTTGGCCATGTACATTATGACCCAGTGGTCCCGTGGCTTCACCATTCATCTTAAAAAGCAATTGCTGTGCACCTCTGTGTGAAACGGTGGATAAACACTTTTAGGTTTAAACCACATTGTGTTAGCTATCAAATGCCGTGCACCTCTGTGTGAAACAGTGGATAAACACTTTGAGGTTTAAACCTTAATGTGTTAGCTAGAAGCGCATGCACATGCATGATGCATAGCCTCATACACCTGCATGAGGAATACTGGAATAGATTCACGTACACATGAAACCTAAGTGTACATGTTGAACTTTTCCTTAGCGTGGTAACTTGTATGCTACTATAAATTTATAACTTATTATCTCTAATTGGCTATATGTTGGAAGAGCGTATGACTCATTATTTTTCCATCATTTGCAATGGAGCCAAAGATTCATTATTTTTTGGCTTGAGAATATGATGGAATAAAGCAAAATGGCTCACTAAACTGTCTGCACTTCTTTGTTATGAAGCAGCAGTCAGTCCATGCAATTTTGGACACGATTTTCACTATGGGTCATCCGGAAACAATCTCTCTGTGCTTTAGTACAGGGGTAAGACTGCGTACATCCAACCCCCCCTTACCCCACCGTAGGTGGGAGCCTTTGTGGCACTGGGGTAAATGAAAATGAAATGAAATTGGAAGAGCGTATGACTGTGGAGTGAACAAAGTGGAGGGCGAAAGTTCATGTGGAGGATTGATCTTTGTTCTCTCTTCTCTCTCTCTCTCTCTCTCTCTTTCTTTTATCTGTTATACTCTATCTTTCTTATGTTCTTATGTTATTTTTATCCTGTATCTTTCGTATGCCTTGTTATCTTATATTTATCTTTATCTTTATCTTATCCTTTTATCTTACTGATACGAAGCAGGCCGAGTCGAGTGCGATCGAGGAAGAGCCGGTTCCCAGACCTTTGATCGTGTACCGAAGGCGAGGACGGGAGAAGTCCACATCCGTGGGCTGGGTCGGCTGAATCTGGGGCGGCTGAATGGGATGTTTAATTACTTAGTTTCCTAAGTTAAGTTAATTTCCTAATATGAGTTATTTACTAAGTTACGTTATTTCCTAGTTTAAGTTGTTTTGGAGTTTTCCTTTTATTAGGACTTGTAGTCTATTTAATCCCCTCAAGAGGGTTATTCAAACTATGCTTGATTAATAATAATTTGTGTGTGTTTAAGCTTTCAAGCTTTGGCAACGGTTATTTCCATTGATTGTTATTTTCTGTTCTTATCAATTTGGTCCGACCTGCCGGATCCTGTCCCGCCACAATGACAAGATCTCAAAGTGAACGTTTGCAAGAATTGGATAATGAACAAAGTCGCGTTGGAGAAGAAGTGGCCCGATTGGGGGCCGAACAGATCCGAACGAACCAGACCCTTGACGACCATAGTACGAAGCTCGAATCAATGTCCCTAACACTCGGTGAACATGGAGCGAAGCTGGAGGAAATCGTGACTTCGCTGGCAGCATTAACGAAGGCGTTGACCCCGCCTAAATCGCCGGCTATCGACGCGGTAGGCGCCAACGTTGGCGCACTGACCGTGCCAACAATCGACGGGGAAGGGCGCCATTCCATGCCGACGCCACTACCCACGTTCGATGGGGGGGACCCGATCGGGTGGTTAGCCCGGGTAGAGCAGCAGTTCGAGTTACAGGCGATTCCACCAGATCGGAAGGTGGCTGCCGCTATGGTGGCCATGGAAGGAGGAGCGCTTTACTGGATTACATGGCTGAGATCACGCAAACCCAATATAGGCTGGGAAGATTTCAAACAAGCCCTGGTTACTAGATTTGATTCCCGATACCAGGGAAACCGGTTTGAACGATTATCTGGAGCCAAGCAAGAAGGAACAGTAGAAGATTACAATGCTCTTTTTGTCCAGTTGGCAAGCCAAGTTCCGGGTTTATCGGACGATCACTATATGGGATATTATATGAACGGGCTTATAGAAGAAATTAAATGCTCGCTGCGTTTACTTCGTCCAGATTGTTTAGAAACGGCTATGGAGTTGGCCCTTGGAGTTGAACATAAATTAATCATTTAGAGCGGAGGAAAAGGAGGATCGAGATACAATTTCACTGGATCACCAAGTAGCAATTATCCACGGCCAAACCCGGGTTCCCTCTCGGCCACCGCCAGTGGAAGCACGCGAAATTTTGGGGGCAGCATGTCTCGGCCCACTGGACCAACGGTGGGTTCCACACCACCAGCCGCCGGTACCACTTCCGGAACATCTGGGCAGCCCACAGAACGTTCAAGATTCACTCGCATACCCCCGAAGGTTTACGATGATTTACGCGCCAGAGGACTATGCTTTAAATGTCGGAAGCCCTACTCTCCAGGACACGAATGCCCGTTAAAACAACTACGGGTAATACTGGTGGATGAAGACGAAGAGTTGGACTTACAGCAACATGATTATTGCGACATAGCAGGACAGGAGGAAGCCCCACTAGACGATGACTCTTCCGAGGGGCAGGAGGGAGATTTTCCGGTCTATGCTATGGCCGGAATTTTCAGCCCCCAGACTATGCGACTCCGCGGAACGATTGGAGGGTGCACGGCCACAGTATTAATTGACAGCGGTGCCAGTCATAATTTTGTATCTTCTTCTTTGGTATCTCTATTACGCCTTAGAAAGGATAAGACTGGGAGATTCGGAGTACAATTGGGGGATGGGCACCGACAAGAATCTGAAGGAGTATGCCATCAACTCTCCATTAACTTACTAGGATGTGCTATCAAAACGGATTGTTTTGTCTTTCCACTGGCGGGAGTGGACCTTATACTGGGCGTGGCTTGGGTAGCAACATTAGGAGAAGTGCGAACCAATTGGAAGGAATTAACCATGCAGTTCAAACTTAACGGCAAGCAGGTAGAATTGAGAGGTGATCCAGCAATGAGTAAGAATGCAGTCAGTTTGAGGACTCTTCTTAAAACAGTCGATGGGGAGTTTAGTGCGGTTGTCCTCGTCAGGGAAACCGGCAAAATGGCGGGGGCAACAATGGAATCATTGAAGGATATTCTCGGTCGACATACAGAGGTATTCACTGAATTGCAGGGGCTGCCACCATATCGCACTAGGGACCACCGCATCGAGCTGGTTTCCGGGGCAAAACCAGTCTCGGTACGGCCATATCGGTACGGTCATCTACAGAAAGATGAGATTGAGAGATTAGTTGATGAGATGCTTCAGGCCGGCATCATTCAACCAAGTTCCAGTCCATTCTCCAGTCCAGTTCTGTTAGTCAAAAAGAAAGATGGCAGCTGGCGATTTTGTGTGGATTATAGGGAACTTAATAAATCAACGGTGGCGGATAAGTACCCTATTCCGGTGATCCAGAAGATGTTAGACGAGCTGGCTGGGGCTGTGGTCTTTTCTAAGATCGATTTGCGTTCCGGATATCACCAGATCAGGGTGGCAGAATCAGACATCCACAAAACCGCCTTCCGGACTCACAGTGGGCATTATGAATTTTTGGTGATGCCATTTGGGCTGACCAATGCACCAGCAACTTTCCAAGCCGTCATGAATGATTTATTTAGACCTTATTTGCGGAAATTTGTACTGGTGTTTTTTTATGACATCTTAGTGTACAACAAATCATGGGCCGAACACCGAGAGCATTTAGATCAAGTACTGGAAATCCTGGAGAAGAATCAGTTCAGAGCAAATAAAAAGAAGTGTGCTTTCGGCCAACCACAGGTGGAGTACCTCGGTCACATCATCTCTCAAACAGGGGTAGCCATGGATCCGGCCAAAGTCAGTGCGGTGGTAGATTGGCCTCAGCCGAAGACTGCCCGAGAGGTCCGAGGGTTTCTAGGATTGACTGGTTATTACAGGAGGTTCGTGAGAGAATACGGACTGATTGCACGACCGCTTACGGATCTTTTAAAAAAGGAAGCTTTGACTCGTTTTGAGTGGACTGAAAAGGCCGAAAAGGCTTTCCGCCAACTTCAGAAGGCCATGACCGAAGCTCCTGTGCTAGCCATGCCCCAGTTTGACCGCCTATTTGTGGTAGAATGTGATGCATCAGGGATCGGGGTTGGAGCGGTTCTTATGCAGGAACGAAGACCGATTGCTTACTTTAGCAAATCGTTAGCTGACCGAACCCTGTCTAAATCCGCCTATGAGAGAGAGATGATGGGTTTGGCGTTGGCCGTGCAGCATTGGCGGCCATATTTGATTGGACGAAAATTCCTAGTACGGACTGATCATCGAAGTCTCAAGCATCTGCTCACTCAGCGCATAGCCACTCCATCTCAGCAAGTTTGGGTGGCAAAGTTGTTAGGTTATGATTTTGAGATCGAATACAAGACCGGTGTTTCTAACAAAGCAGCAGACGCTTTGTCCCGACGAGGAGAGGAAAGGGAATTAGCCGCAATCAGTATTCCCGAATGGCTGGGTTTGGCCGACATAGGAGAAGAACAACAGAAGGATGAGGCTTTGCAGAAGATTTGGGAAACTGTGGCTATAGATCCAACAAAGATGCCGGGTTACGAGGTGATTGAGCAGCGGCTGTTTTACAAAGGCCGCTTGGTGCTGCCCACGGGTTCCCGGTGGATTCCGAAGTTGATAGAGGAATTTCATTCGACGCCTTCAGGAGGTCATGCAGGGGCCTATCGGACATATAGAAGGCTTGCAATGAATGTCTGCTGGAAGGGGATGTTCAGACAGGTACGAGATTATGTTGCGCAATGTTTAGTTTGTCAAAAAGCTAAATACGAAACTTTATCACCCGCGGGGTTACTTCAGCCATTACCTATTCCCAACTTAATTTGGGAAGATATTTCCATGGATTTCATCACTGGTTTGCCAAAGTCAAAAGGATTTACATCAATTCTAGTGGTGGTGGATAGATTGTCGAAATATGGGCACTTCATTCCTCTAAAATGCCCAATCACAGCCCGCTCCGTGGCTGAGGTGTTTTCCAAAGAAGTAGTGAGGTTGCACGGCATTCCACGCTCAATCGTAAGTGACCGGGACTCACTTTTTGTTAGTGCCTTCTGGAAGGAATTATTTAATCTTTCAGGAACCTAGCTGAAGTTTAGCTCGGCATATCATCCAGAGACCGATGGGCAAACTGAAGTTTTGAACCGGGTGTTGGAAACCTATCTGCGTTGTTTCACCAGTGAGCAGCCGAGACAGTGGGTACGTTGGATAAATTGGGCAGAATATTGGTATAATACCGCATTCCAGACGGCAGCCCGACTCTCTCCGTTCGAGGTGGTATATGGCCGGCCACCCCCAACGATTCGGAGGTTTATACCTGGAGAAAGCAGAGTTGCAGCCGTAACAGATGTGTTGGGTAGCAGGGATGTGATGTTAAGGCGGTTAAAAGAGAATCTACAAAAGGCACAACAAAGCATGGCAACCCAAGCAAATAAACACCGACGCGACGTGGAATTCCAGGTTGGAGATAAAGTATTTTTGAAGGTCAGGCCTCATCGGCAAACAACTCTGTCCCGCCAATCATACCGCAAGCTGTCTGCAAAGTTCTATGGGCCATTTGTGGTTGAAGCACGCATTGGGAAGGCAGCCTACCGTTTGACACTGCCAGCAACCAGCCGTATCCATCCGGTCTTCCATGTATCACAGCTGCGGAAGGTAGTCGGTGATCACCCTGTGGAAAATGAGTTACCCGAAAGCTTGGAACTACCCGTAGGACCCGTGTTTGAACCTGAGGACATATTAGCTACCAGAAAGAAAGATGACAAGGAAGAGGAGTTGTTGGTTAAATGGGCTGGACAGTCTACGGACGAGGCAACTTGGATGAATAAAGCGAGCTTCTCAAGCCAATTCCATGATTTCAACCTTGAGGACAAGGTTCTTCCAAAGGAGGGTGAATTTGATACGAAGCAGGCCGAGTCGAGTGCGATCGAGGAAGAGCCGGTTCCCAGACCTTTGAACGTGTACCGAAGGCGAGGACGGGAGAAATCCACATCCGTGGGCTGGGTCGGCTGAATCTGGGGCGGCTGAATGGGATGTTTAATTACTTAGTTTCCTAAGTTAAGTTAATTTCCTAATATGAGTTATTTACTAAGTTACGTTATTTCCTAGTTTAAGTTGTTTTGGAGTTTTCCTTTTATTAGGACTTGTAGTCTATTTAATCCCCTCAAGAGGGTTATTCAAACTATGCTTGATTAATAATAATTTGTGTGTGTTTAAGCTTTCAAGCTTTGGCAACGGTTATTTCCGTTGATTGTTATTTTCTGTTCTTATCACTTACCTTCTTTTTTTATTTTCCTTATCTTTCTTTCTTTTGTGGCTCAAATATCATAGATCGATTCATGTTGGCTGACTCCAAAATGTTTTGGGAATAAGAATTGGATGTTGTTGGTGTTGGTTATATGTTGGAAGAAAAGAAAAATGCCAAAGGATTTAGTAAATTGAGGTTGAAGATGATTTTCTGTGCTAAGGGATCGTAGTTATAATGCTTGGATGTTGTTTTGTGTGCTAAGGGATGATACCGAGAATGATGATGACTTTGATAACAGAAATTTTTAACTCTTGAGTTTATTTGCTTGACTTCCTAAATCAACTTTTTTGCTGATGTTTTGTGTTAAGTGTTTTAGAATATTTGGTTAAAACATTCAATTATTAAAAATGAATTCTAGAACTTTATGATGCAGTTATACTTATCAATATGCACTAATTAGTCACATTATTACTCCTTCCCATTCATACTGACTCGATGTGGTTGACTTTCACAGAAATTAAGAGTAAAGTTTTAGGGGTGTGAGTAGTGTAGACAATTGAATTGAAAGAGTGAAAGTGCATGAAATAGATGAAAAAGCAGTAAAGAGAAAATGAAAAGATAAAGGTACTTATGTCTTTTGATTCATTCATAACTGCAAAAAAGAAGTTAAAGTAGTAATAATCTCCCATGAAAAGAAAGTGAATACGTCAGTGAACAGACATAAGGCCCTTATATTTATACATGTCTTTTCCACCTTAAGTTTTTCGATTATATTTGTCTTTGATGCTCTCGAACCGGGTTCCTTTCGCTATTTTAACAAAGACACTTTTATTACCTATCTGTATATTTGTTCCACTTTTAGTTTAGTTAAGTTGTGAAAATGACAACTTTTCACTTTCAAATATTGTGAGAGTGACGCTCTTTTTCTCCAACGATAGTGACATAATTCAAAGACAATGATGAGAAGTGTCACTGTCACAATGATTAGGAATATAAATATGGAATGATTCAAAAATGAATACTAAAACTATGTATTTCAGAATAGTCAGAGAACAACAAAAAAAGTCATGTGGTAGAAATTGGTGTCCCACAAGGCGTGGGTTTGAAGAAGAATCCCACCACAAGGGTTTATACAGGTCAAGCCTACTCTTGTGGTTTTTTTGACAAGATGTCGCTCGCAAGACTTGAACTAATAACCTATCGATCACAAAGCAACATTGAAACTGTAAAATTACAAAATTGGATATCACAAGTGTCATAACCACAATTGTGAAATGGAAGTACTTCCGAAAAACCTACTTTCACTATCCTATTGGGGTTTGAAAAGTTTAATCGGAATGTGAAATAAGAAAGTGACAATCAAGAAAAGAAAGTTGATAAAGTCTGGTGGGATGGAATCAATAATATTTATAATTTACTAATGTCCGGAGAAGCTCATACATAGTTGGCCAAAGCAAACCAGCTCATTCCAAGGTTGTAGAAAACCTTGGTTTCACTTCTTTCCTTTCACACCCACCCTGGATCAAACTCCATATTCTAACGATGGACTAAGTACTATTTAAGTAAGTACAAACAATAAACAACAACATCCAAGACTTAGTCCTAAGACAGTGTGGGGTCAGGTTGGAGTTAAAGAAGATCAAAAGAGATCAATCCTCCACACGTAAACTCTCAGTCTACTTCGCTCTCTCCAAATTCATTCTCACGTACAACCTAGAGGTGTCATATTATTGCTGACCACTCGAATCCTCGTCTGCTTGGATCGTCCTCTCCCTCTCCTCCCTACCTCTTCTCACAACCTCTCCATTTGTCTAACAAGTGCATCACTTGGTCTTTTCTAGTATATTCACACATCCAACGCAATATGCGCATCTCAACCTTCATCAAAATTGGAACGGAAGCCAAAGTAGCCATGGCCTCTCAACCAAGAGCCATCGCTCCCTGGTGGCAGTCCAAATTGTGGACGACTCCAAGAATGGTTAAAAACAACTGTTTAATACTCCTCGTTCACTTTCATTTACTTCCGTAGTTTTGTCAGGTTTTCACAAAAATAATCTATAGCATTGTAGGGATAGTGATATAAGTGAATAGGGTATAAAATGGGGAAAAGGGATAAAAGAAAGTAAGAAAAAGAAAGGATCTTATATTTTCCACTATTAATGTAGTTGTGAAAAGAAAGTCGGAAAATGGATTAGTAAACTTTTGTAATAGAAAACTGGAACAAATGGACGACAGCAGAGGTAAAGTGAGTGGGCAGAGTGGCAGGACATTATTGTGAACCAGGTGATCTAGACCATAAATTTTGTTATGGCGGATTATTGACAGATCAAAGAAACCAAAAAAAAAATGAAAAGAATAGATAAACAGATTGAACAAGAATCATCAATCTATTGTGTTAGCTGCAACAGAGGCTGGGATGTTGTGTTGGCTACAGCAGAGGATGACAAGAGATCTGAATTTTATTAGGAGGATAGTTGTCAGATTACAGAGTTAGGCAAAGCTTGGCATTATCCATGTAAACCCTAAGCCGACCCCAAACTGATCAAGGATTACTACATAGACCATGTGGAAAGACTCGCTGTACCTAATCAAGTCCCCTTACGTCGGCAAAAGGTGTGATTAACAAATTTAGCCTTTTCTTTTAATGAGAAAACCAAAATCAGAAGAAAAACAAACTCAAGCATCATTCAATTTAACTATAATCCTACATCATAATTCCTTGTTGATGCAGCTAACAGGTGTGAAACCTGATTTTCCTGTTGATGCAGCAAATGCACTTATCGAGGATGAGAGAAAACGTGAAACCTGATGAAGCAAACCGCCTTCCAGAAGAAATCTATCTTCTTCGTCTGTGCCCATTAGGATTTAGAAGAACTCTCTGATCTATGGGTCTATATATCCTTGCACTTTTAGGAGGATTGTAGTTAGGGAAAATTTTACAAATAAGACGTAAGCGTATGAAATTTCCAAAATTAGGACTCTAGCCATGTGTAGGACATAAATAGAATTGCTTTGACCATTTTACCCTACTTTTGAATTGTCATACGGGCCAAACAAATCTCTTCTAAACCGCAAGCCCAATTAAAAGTTAAGAGCGGCTCACCATCAACGATCTTCGCTTTAGCGATTCCAAAAGAAGGGTCTGCTACTACCCAAATGTCTTCTTCACAGCTCTCAAATCAATCTGCTCCATCTGATCCTTCCCTTCATGGTGACCGGGAGGAGCCGACTCAAGTCCCTCCCTGAATTCCTCCTGCCCACTCCTCTTCCTCTCTTAATCCGCACGACGACGGAAGCAGTGGAGACATTTTCCTTTCACCGCAACCCTCCTAAGCTCCATGACTGGTTTATCATATTACTCGGTGAAGACCTCGAAAAGTTCAATGATTTGTATGTCGAGCAAGAGGATGAGTTCATTATTCGCTTCCAGGAATACTTTTTCCCCTGTCACATATGACTATTCGTAGGATTTAAGGGGACTCTTTCATTATTTTCTCATGCATAGGTACAATACAAATGATTATATGAACTAATGAACATAAAGGTTTATACATTTCTTTTGAAAATAAAGTAAATGTATGAATGCGATCAATAGGTTGTTCTGTTCAATCAGTAGAGACTAGTCCATAAAACAGAGGGTCCCGATTAAGGTCTACTTATGGGCATTAACCAGTCCGTAATACGACAGTAATTTTGAAAATATCAGTTTTTATCAATGTGGTTCATATTTGTCCTCAGCAAGATGATGGGTATGTTGGGTGTATTTTGATATTCTTTACATAACTTAATACATTAAAAATGCTTACCTTTTAGTTTAAACACTTGCAGGGACAATTGTGGTATGTTTGTCATCAAAGTTGCTGAATTTGTACTGATGGGTAAAGATTTGAGTGAAGTTTTGAAGGAAGACGTTGATAGCTACCGCTACAAATGACGACGAATCTATTGATGTATGCGTCAAGATGGAAGTAGTTAGACTACGATGCTGTGTGATTATTATGATTAGGATCTTGGGAAAGATAAGAACATGTAAAATTCCTTCTGTTGTCATTAAGCATTATTCCTAAATATTGGTGGCAATCAGTTTGACTATGAGTAATCTTGTTTTTTAGTGACATATCAAATGCTTGATCATTGTTAAGTTGATTTAAAATGCTGGTTGAAGTATGGAGTATTGTCCATAAGTAGACAGTAACAAGTCTTTGATGTCTCATGCGCAGACATTAAATTCCTACAGTTAATATAAGTACAAACTTTAGTACAAAATTATGAACTAACTATGAAACTTGATAGATTCAACTCTTGAAATGAGATTTGGAAATATTTCCCATGCATAGGTACAATACAAATCACATGAATATGAACATAAAGGTCAGTCTATACATTGCTTTTGAAGACAAAATACATGTATGAGTACAATTAGAATGTTGATGTGTTCAATCAGTACTTCAGTGGCCTTCTGTGTCACGCCCCGGACACGTCAACAACTCACCGTACAATACGAATGGTCAACCAAAGTCAAGCACATCCATATTATACAAAGTGTCTCGAATATCATTCACACATAAGTCATCCATAAACATACATAATAAGCAATTCAATACGCAGCGGAAAACATAGTTTGAAATCAAAGCCACACAGGGCAAACATGAGCACGCAGGCTCTAAAGTAAAATATCCATGAGCAAGTTTATTAATGTTCAAATCAGAATGGAGGAAGCACGAACCAAGTCTTCTCTCCGGGATATCACTCGAGCAACGAGCACAGGAAGCAAGCTCTAGCCTCAACCTGAAATGGTGGTGGGACGCTCCCGAAGGGGTCAGTACTCTATAGGGCTATAAAGTACTGGTGTGGATGGCATCTAATAGATATACAACAAGTATTTCAAACACAAGACCCTCAAATAGGTTGATAGTACAATATGATTGTAACCCCAAGTTACCCCGTTTGAAAATATACTTACTTTATATAAAAATCAAGTAGTCGGCTCATGGGCCCATGTTCATTTAGAAATCACCATTCTCATTCCCCGTGACTATAAGCCACGACAACTCATAGAGTCCAACCCTAATACATGACATTGTATTCTAGAGCTCGGCTCTATCACATCACCATACAATTCATGTCACTTGGGTCAATTTCCTTACGTTGCATTCTAGAGCTCGGCTCTATTACATCATCGTGCAAGCCCGAGAGCTCGGGTCTAGTTATACAATACATAGACTACAATTCTACCACCTTACCATGCATCCTAGAGCTCAACTCTATTACATTACCATGCACTAAAGCCCAATTCCTAAGCAAACCTATGCCTAGAATTGACATATCAATAAACTATCTTGGGTCATCCTTAAAGACTGTCCATAACTTAACCTTAGTTCATACTAAGTCATTTTATACACTTGAAGTATATTCAAGTGCATTGCATACAATCCAATCCTTAGGATCAATTCTATCAACAATTTCCAATAATCACTAACTAGTATTTCAATATTATTAAGATTATTGTTATCATACAAATATTCTCATTTTGTAATTCTCTACATATTTATAAGTATGTGGCAGTAACTTAAGTATTCGATCTCAATACATAAATATTCATTATGTATCCACATAATTCATACATGAGTAAAATGTCTATTTCACAAAATAGTTCATTTATAACTCATTTAATCTCATATTATCCATACAACCTCAAATCATTTCCAATTTCACTCTTTGTCAACTATATCAATATTTAAGCATCATAATCCATGAAAAATTAAGATTTAGGAATTTAGGAAATCTCATGCTTAACCTACAAGTTGTAAGCAATTAGGTGTCGATCCTCACCTTAATTGAGCTTTAAACTTTTTCTTCTTGATCCAATGGTCAAAGCTTCGGGCCTTCGGCCAAGGCGGATTAAGAAATGATTCCTTGCTTAAAAATGAGTGCTAGTTAGCCTCCTCAAATCGCCGGCTCAACTCCTAATCGTTGATACGAAAACAACCCCTAGAATGAGTGTTTTCCGACGAACTTGTTTCCTAGTTTTTCCAAGGTTTGCTCTAGGTTAGTATCTAACCTTTACATGACTAAAATAATCTTATAAGGACATATTATACACTTGGAATAGTGTATAATAGTTCCACAAACCGTTCATATCATATGGAAAATGAAAAGGAAGGGTTTGGGTTCAAACTCACTTTCAAGAGGTAAAATCTTCACGGATTTCAAGAGGTAAAATCGTTTCTGCGAGGTTGGGTTTTCCTTCTATGATTTGAAAGCGTTCCGCTACTCCGTTTTCTGAAAAACAAACCTTCACGGATTCCTCGTCTTGAGAGCTTTCTTTTGGTACCTTACACGCCCTATTTGGACGATTGAAGCTCAAGATATGGATCAAACAAGTAACCCTACTTACTGGAAAATGAACCTGCAGCCAGCTTCCTTCTTCACTTCTCTGTTGAAGTGTGTGGCTCTCTCCTTTTCTATTATCTATTAAGGTCTGAAAGGGGTGCTGGGGGGAGTATATAAGATCCCTCAATCATTCCAAGAGAGCATGTGGTTCACAAAAAAGAAAGGTAGGATGTTTGATTACAATCAAACATGGGGTGGACCTCCTCTTTTATTTCTTTTTGTAATGTTGTAGCTCTCAAGTCAATATGTCCGCCCCATATAGTCATCTCACCCATTTTTCTTTATCTTGCAGGTACTCAAATCATGTGCAATGCTCCCCAATTGATCCCAATCAATTTGGGGTCCAAAATATCTACCAATACTTCCAAAAATAGAAAGATGGGTCCTACTGTTTTATCTTTTGTCAAATGGTGTCTTTTTGTACTCATTCTAATTTATTTAGAACAAGTCAACTCCCTACATCATATTATTGATCTCCAATATGTGTAGGATCATCCCAATAATTTACATGATGAAAACCTACTACCATTATTTAGCTCAATAATGTCAAAGATGGGGTCATACACATTTGTATTCTTATCTCATCATCCTATCACTTATTTATGACATTAGTATTCATATTGCTGGGTTACTGGCCGTGTAGGTCACCCTCGAGTGGGCCTAGGACGTCATTCTTAAATACTTACTATTTTTAGTAGGTTGGGCCCAAAATAAAGTTTGGGCTGCCTGACCTTCCTTAATTTGTATCGAAAGGTTAAGTATCATTATTTAGATAATGTTGGGCTCTTATATATATTAAGATGACCCAAATAAGTATTTGAAAGTACATCACTAATATACGAGCTCGAACAGTAAAATAATCAATCATGCACTACGTAACATTAATCGTTTTACAATCGTTTGACAATAGGAAATTCAATACATAAACTTTGAATTTTAAATTGAATTTCAAGGACGTTTGGGTGCGATGTCACATTCTGTCTTCAATTAGCAGGTGTGTGAGGCATGTTGCTTGGTGATAAATAGTGGGAGTACAATAACATCATACTCATTTCTCAACGCCTATCTCATACAAGTTTTGAGTCTACCAGTAAGATTTCTTGTTGTGATCACCTTTCTTTAACCAAGAACAACGCCGATGAGATGCAAATTCACCAATTGAGGGTATTCTCTTCATTTTGTCCGAATAAGGTTTCTTGTCGAGACCAACTTTTTTGCACAGGCACATGCCCTTGCTTTCCAATTAGCAACAAAGTTTCAAGACGTCTTAGCACTAGCAGGATTCATGGATGAACCATCAATAATAATAACTGGAAAATAATGTTTCTAGCCCTTTTTGTAAGGAAGACTAACACCATAATCTCTATCCATATCCACCATAATATCAATAGGAGCATACGGTTTGCGAGATGCATCTGCATACCGGTGTTTAATAAACTCTACAATAACATCATATGTGATTTGACGATGCCGACCGTGTCTAAAATCAATGGAACATGTATGATCAGAATCAAACCTGAAAAAAGTAAATGAACGATGCCGACCGTGTCTAAAATCAATGGAACATGTATGATCAGAATCAAACCTGAA